ATTCAGTATTATGATTTTTTTTTGTTCTTGTGTGACATATTACTTTATAATATTTTATAATGTGCTCCTTCAGTAATTTTTATCTTGCTGAATTTATTATGAAGATTTTTCTTTAATTCAGAAGGGGTGGGGTTTTCTTTTGCTTTGTAGTTTAGAGATTATTTCAACACTGAGAGAATACAGTAGCTGGGAATTAATTTGAGTTTTCATCTCCCTTCACCTACTCTGAATGTTCAGAAGTTGGCTGGCTTTGTGCAGCCAAGTCTTGAATTTACAGGATAATCCAGTGCTTGCTGTGTCCTCCCTCCCACTTCTCCCTCTTTCCTCTCTCTCTTCTTCTGCCCCTTCTTCCCTTTCCTCTCTTACCTCCCTTCCCCTGCCCCCATCTCCTCTTTGCCTAGATTCTGTGAATGTGTAGACACCAATGGGTGATGTGTCCACAGTCCAGCAGGCATCCAGAGATGTCCTGGTGTTGTTGAGTAGGCACCTCCTTGGTGCCAGGCACTCTGCCTATTCTGGAGACTCATGTTGGCAAGATGGTATTCAGGGAGCTGGGCAGCTCACAGGGCAAGCAAGCAAGTGGACAGGATGATGGAGTGATGAGGGACATGTTTGGACTCCACCCCAAGGCAGGAGCTATGGAAGGCTGACTGATAATGATGATGGTAATGATGATGATGATGGTGATAGTGATGGTGGTGATGATGGTGATGACAATGGTGATGATAATGGTGATGATGGTGATGGTAATGGTGATGGTGATGGTGATGATGATGGTGATAGTGATGGTGGTGATGATGGTGATGACAATGGTGATGATAATGGTGATGATGGTGATGGTAATGATGGTGATGGTGATGGTGATAGTGATGGTGGTGATGATGGTGATGGTGATGGTGGTGATGGTGATGATGATGGTGATATTGATGGTGGTGATGATGGTGATGGTGATGGTAATGATGATGATGATGATAGTGATGGTGGTGAAGATGGTGATGACGATGGTGATGATGGTGATGGTAATGATGATGATGATGGTTATAGTGATGGTGGTGATGATGGTGATGGCGATGGTGATGATGGCGATGGTGATGATGGTGATGGTGATGGTGACGATGATAGTGATGGTAGTGATGATGGTGATGATGATGGAGATGTTGGTGATGGTGGTGGTGGTGATGATAGTGATGGTGGTGATGATGGTGATGGCGATGGTGATGATGGTGATGGTGATGATGGTGATGGTGATGGTAATGATGATGATGATGATAGTGATGGTGGTGGTGATGGTGATGGTGATGGTGATGGTGGTGATGGTGATGATGTTGATGCTGATGCTGTTAGTGATGTTGATGGTGATGGCAGCAGTGATGATGGTGATGGTAATGATGATGATGATGATGGTGATGATGATGGTAATGATGGTGGTGGTGATGGTGATGATCACAGTGATGATGATGAAGCTGACATTTTTTGAGCATTACTGCGGGCCAGAAACTGTACTGAGGGCTTTCCAAACGTTAAATCATTTAATTCTCAAGCAACTCCATGGAGTAGGGACTCTTACAACCTGGCTTCAGCTGTCCCTGTGGATGGGTCGTCATCATCACCATTGTGTTTTGGCCCTGGTCACAACCTGGACAGCTCCCTATGATTTATGAATGAGGAAAATGAGCCACAAAAACTGAAGTGAGGAGCCGATGCTGGCCTGTGGTGTGAGATCACTCTGGTATTTCAGCTCAGGCTCAAAGAAGAATCCAACACTTTCTTTTTCATTGTTTTTCTTGATTGCATAAACAGCATTATAACAATCATGGTGTTATGGATTGAATTGTGTCCCCCCAAAATATGTGTTGATAATTCTAACTCCTGTACCTGTAAATGTGACCCTGTTTGGTAATAGGGGATTTTGTTTTTATGTTAATGAGATCATACCAGAGTAGGGTGAGTCCTAAACCTAATCATTTCTGAGTCATAAAAAGAGCAGAATAGACAGACACACACAGGGGAAGACAGATGCCAAGGAACTTCCAGGACTGCTGACAAGGAAGGACCTCCCCACTAGAACCACACCTTGAATTCAGACTTCTAGCCTCCAGAACTGTGAGAAAATAAATTTCTCCTCTTTAGAGCCACCCAGTTGTAGTATTTCTGTTTCAGAAGCACTAGGTAAGTAAGACTACGCCTCACACACTTTGGACATGTTGTCAGGAGGGATCAGCCCCTGGAGAAGGACATCATGCTTGGTAAAGTGGAGGGCCAGCGAAAAAGAGGAAGACCCTCAATGAGATGGATTGACACAGTGGCTGCAACAATGGGCTCAAGCTTAAGGATTGTGAGGATGGCACAGGACGGGGCAGTGTTTCGTTCTGTGGTACATAGGGTTGTTATGGGTCAGAACCGACTCGATGGCACCTAACAACAACAACAAGTAACTAAGACACATAGGGTTAAAAATGAAGTTTGAAAATCGCCAGGTGTGGACCAGGTGAAAAGCGGCATTTCCCACAGGAAGGCAGGGTCCCTGCCCCGCTCCAGCTGCTCAGAGTGTTTTTCCCTCATTGCTCCTTGGCCCTTTGACACCTCCTGACTTTTGGGCCCTTAGGTTATTTCCAGGTTTTCATTGCTATCAACAATTCAAATAGTGTGACTCTCAACATCTTTAGGCATATGGCTTTTTCCTTTTGGGAAGTATTTCTTTAGAACAAATTCCCGACAAGCATATTACTAAGCCTGGGGTAGGGATACTTTTATGACTTTTTAAGTTAGTGCAATCTGTTTGAAATCAGATAGTTAAACTAAAGGAATACACTTATTCAGGGAGACTTGTTTTTTACGGAGGTGAAGTTCACATCACGTGAACTTAGCCATTTAGTGCATTCCCAGTGTGGAGCAACCATCACCTTTCTCTAGTTCCAAAATATTTTTATCACCCTGAAAGGAGACCCCCACACCCATGAGCAGTCTCTCCTCACCCCCTCCCGCACACCTGGATGGCCTTTCCCCATTCTCCTCCGCCGCCCACCCCCATGCACACTGAGATGGCTCCGTGTGGAGGTGTCTCCGCAGCAGTAGGGACTTTCCTGGGACGGAGAGCGTGCAGCCTCCTCCTTCAGATCAGATGTCTCCTAATTCGTCCACCCACAAGTCTGTCCTGAGCGCCTGCTGTATACCAGGTTCTGTCCTAGGCCCGGGACACATGCAGTAATGAGCAAAACAGAACTCGCTCCTGCCCTCACAGGCCCAGAGAGCAATGAGCAAGAAATCAGGAAAACAGGAACGCGAGAGGTGGTAAGGGCCGCAGCAAAAACCAAGGAAGCGAGGGGGCGTGGTGAGGATTCTAAGTGGTGGGGGTGGGGGGGCTCACTAAGGGCTGACCACCTGGGGTGGGGGGCGTGCATGGTGGGGTGCGCAGGCTCTGTGTGTCCTGGTGCCAACGACCCACGTAAAATCACCTGCAGGTCAGGGGCGTCTTAGTCTCCTGGGGCTGCCGTGACAAACACCTCAGAGGAGGGGGCGTGTAGGAACATAAATTCATTCTCTCACAGTTCTGGGGGCTAGGAATCAGAGATCAGGGTGTTAGTAGGGCCACACTGTCCGGAGGCTATAGGGGGGGTCTTCCCTGGTCTCCATCCTTGGTTTGTGGCCGCATCACTCCCATCTCTGCCTCCATCTCCACATGGCTGTCTCCCTTGGTGTGTCTCCCCGGTGTGTGTGTCTGTTTTCTCTTCTATAAAAGCACCAGTCCTATAGGATTAGGCCCACCCCACTCCAGTGCCACCTCATCTTATCTTGGTTACATCTGCAAAGACCCAGTTCCCACACAAGGTCACTGTCTGCCATTCCAGGTGCACGTGCATCTGGGGGAACACAGTGTGAGGGCATGCCCCCCGACCCCCAGAGCCCCGTTTCCTCATCTGCACTGGGGCCGATGTCCTGCTCAAGGCAGCTGGGGAAGTCCCGTCCTCTCTGCAGCCACCTGCCCTCCAGGGGGTTCCTGGAGAGTGGTCAGGATGTGTCCCTTCTAAGGGTTCTGTGTGTGGGAAGTTTGGGGTTCAGGGACTGACCGTCGCCCCGCCCTCTGTGACTTTGGACAAATCCTGTTTGGGGCACAAGTTTCCTAAAGCAGATGGGCCTGGGTTGGAACCCCGACTCTGCCTAGCTCACACTCAGTCCCTGTGCCTCAGTTTCTCATCCTAGGCCTGGGCACTATCACTGCGCAGGGTGCTGACTAAGCGAGAAGGAGCATAGGTGTCATGGGTACCCAGTGGGCCGCCATCCAAGGCACGGGCTGCTATTACTGGCCTCATTTTGAAGGGCTCTGGGTTTGCCACCTGTGGATTTTGAGGGTGGTCTGTCTGAAGGTTGGGGGTCCCCCAGAGGAATGTGGGTGACAGACGGGTCAGTCACTCATCAGGACCCCCATCCACTGGGCAGGTGGGCTTAGAGGCCTGGGGACAGACCACAGGTGTCATGCTGGCACAGAGTGACCAGGGCTGTGCTCACCTAGGGGGCTGGGGGAGACCACTAGCCTTTGTGAAGTCTAAGAGCCGGTTTCTCACGGTGCGGCCCTCAAAATCCCATGGGGGTGATGGGAAATCCCCTGGCCCCACCACACGCCCCTGTGCTTGGAGCTCTGGGGTGAGGCCCAGGATCCCGCATTTGAAAGGCGCTGCCGGCTGACTGAGGCAGACTGAGAGCTGCAGGCTGCGTCGGTGGTGCAGTCTCTCATCAAGGGCCAGGGGACTCCAGGTGTGGCCCATGGACCTCACCTCAGCCCACGTGGGAGCTGTTGGAAAGGCAGGTCAGGTTCTCTGGGCGGGCTGGAATGTGGGTCTTCTTAGGCCTCCAGGTGATTCTCGGGCAGCCCAGGTTGGAGAAGTGCCAGCCAGAGGCAAGCATTCGGCACAGGGAGGGAGGTCTCTGCACACGTTATGTTTGAGTGTTCCAGGCAGGTGACAAAAGCCTCGCTCTCTGCTGACGGCTCCCCTCCTCCCCAGGGTCCCAAGTGATGGTGGCTGATGCGGTGGTGGCGGAGCGAGCGGAGGCCTGCGCCACCGGTTAGCACGTGGAGCTGCCCCCGCGCCAACCGCAGGACCTGAGCCCTCTCCGAGAGGAAGCATGTCGAAGAAAGGCCGGAACAAGGGCGAGAAGCCCGAAATGGAGCCGGATGCTGTGCAGACGGCAAACGAGGAGCTGCGGGCCAGGTTGACCAGCCTCCAGATCGAGTTCCAGCAGGAAAAGAGCAAGGTGGGCGCAGCGGGGCTGGTCCTGATAGGGTGGGGGTGGGGGCTGTGCGCACCGGGCGCGGACCTGATCCCGAAGGCATGGGGGGGCTGTGTGCGGGGGGGCGTGGTCTGGAGTCAGCCTCTCCAGGCCTTCGTCTACCCCTTGTTGGGGGGCGTGGTCGGGCGTCAGCCTCTCTGAGCCTCTGTTTACCCCTTGTTGGGGGCGTGGTCGGGC